GGCGGGGGGGGGGAGTGGGGGGGGGGTGCTGGATAAGAGGCACTTCACTGAAAGAGTAGCGTGAACTGCCTGAGCGAGAGAGAGAGAGAAAGAGAGAAAAGAGAAAAGTGAGAGAATAAAGAGAGAGAGAGAGAGAGAGAGAGAGAGAGAGAGAGAGAGAGAGAGAGAGAGAGAATAGGATTGCAGCAGACAGATCGAGTTCCATATCCCCTACAATCAGCATCAGGGCTGGTTGCCATGGCAACATGGCACAACATAACATCAGGACCACAAAAAAAAAGCGCCTATAACTCGCCTTTAAAAAAGCAGGATTTATATATATTTATTTATATAGGATTCCGTCTCTTTCTATACGGTTTAATCAGCAGAGAGCGATTTCACCAACATCAAGACTTAAGTAATAACTGAGTGGCTGAGATCTGAACAGAGAGATTCAGAGTGGTTTGGTGTGAAATGGTTCAGATTTCTTTACAGTGGTGGTGATGGGAACCAGGGGTCGCCATGACTACAACACAAATATAGACATTTTATTTACTATCCAGAACCACCAGTGAACCTACACGAGTCTTCTGAGTCTATATGGAATGTTGATGATGGAAAATAGTGGAAAATCTGGAATAATAAGTTTTCTTTGGGGACTATTTTGCCTCACAGCGCCCTGCATGTATCCCTCCACCATGAATGGAGTTTAAGTTCTCTAAACTATCATAAAACAGTGTCTCAGTCATCAGGCAGTGAATTCATAACCATTTACTGTAGGAACTTTCTGTGAGGGAGCTTTTAGAGGTGGACGTCTGGTTCCTATCACCACCACTGTGAACAGTTCTGACTCAGTAAGTTTATCTAGAACAGAGCGTTTCACACCAAACCACTCTGAACCGCTCTGAACCGCTCTGTTTACATCTTAACCGTTTAATTATGCAGAGAATTTTGGAAAATTGCTCTTTAAAGCATTGTAAATCTGTTCCTCAATGACATACACAATGTGAAACATCTCTTTTTTCATTGTTTCATCATTTCTCATTGAAACACGTACAGAAACTGTGTGGAAAGTAAAATTTACTCGGTAAGTTTCCCTGCATGTATGTTTATGCATATTCTGACAAATCAAATAAGAAAAAACTAAATCTAAATCTAGATGATATATCTAATATTTCTTAAACTGAGGTTCTTGTAGGCTTATATTAAGATTATTTCACTTATTTGTGGACATTTTGGACTTGTTAAGTGTTTTTAGTAAGTCAAATTATCTCACTATGTTAGCAGATAATTTGGCTTGTTTTAAGCAAAATTTCTTACTACAAGCAAAATTATCTGCCAATGTCGTGGAATAAACTGACTTAATAGAATCACTTAAAACAGAAATATATATAGAAATATATAATCTTCTAACAAGCTTACAATAATCTCAACATGAAAAATGTTAGATATATTAACCAGATTTATTAGAATTTCACCTGCCAAGACATAATTTTTTGCAGTTTATCAAATAAAATTGTCAAAATCTCCATAAAAGCATAACACACATTTTTGCAGATAATAAAAAAATGTAATAAATTACAATGAAAACACATTTTCTTGAGTAAATAATAGAAATGCAAATAGAATAAACTCAGGTGTTTCTGTTTTTGTGGTCGTAGTCCTGAAACACTGACAGAAGGCAGCAGGAACCAGTCGACTGACGAAGAAATTAAAACGTGTCTTTATCTTATCAAAGAGAAACACATCACGCTGATATTACAGGGTAAACAGAGAGAAGGTGCTGCAGGTGATTAATGGACGTTTCCAGTGTGTTCTCTCTCCGCACTCAGCGCTGTGAAATACAGCCATAAAACTAAACACGACAGTGACGAGAAGCTGCTCAACATCAATGTTTTCCCTCTAAACTCTTCCTGTACTTCTCCGAAGGGTTTCAGAGAGTTTCTGATTGAAATTGTGTCTAATTTGCATATTTTTTATGACGCTTCAGTTATTCGCTTAACAGCTGGATGGAAAACTGGCTACTGTTGTGCATGTAGTCTTGTTACAGCAACTGACACTGACCTACATAAACATTTATAAACACCTTTGTATTTGCCAACTTTGCCCACACTTACACTGTATAGCCAAAAGTATGTGGACACCCCTCTTAATTATTGAGTTCAGGTGTTTCAGCCACACCCAGTAGTAACAGGTGTACAAAATCAAGCGCATACCCATGCAATCCCCATAGACACACACTGGAACAATGGGTGGCACTGAAGAGCTCAGTGACTTTAAATGTGGCTTTAAACTGTCTGTGGAGAAGGGGGCGTGGCCGAGCATTGAATGTGGGACGGAGAAGCCGGTCTGGCTGAAACAGAGGGGCTAAGTAGCTGACGTTGTTCACCTGTGCCTTATTTCTGCCAGCCTACTTATAGCCATCTCTTCCTTCAGTAGGTGGCAGAGCCCAGAGAGAGAAGGAGACCTATGAAGGCGTGAGAGCTGAGCTGAGCTGAACCAGAAAGAAAGAAAGAAAAGAAAAGAAAGGACTGAGAAGTCCCAGCGAGCGTCTTGTCTTACTTTGTGGGCTGAAAGGCTGAGTGTTTTGCGTTGTGTATAAATAATAATAAAAAGAAAGCTCTCCGTCTTCACACCTGTCCCCAGCGTCTTTCCTCCACCCATCATTAAAGCTGTTACACTGTCATAGGATGCTGCCTCTGCCACAAATCAATTGGTGAAATTTGCCTGGCTAGATCTGCCCTAGACAACCGTAAGTGCTATTATTGTGATATGGAAGCATAAGCAGCTCAGCCACGAAGTGGTAGACCTGAGTGCTGAAGCACACAGTGCACCTATCCTCTGTTGAATCATCACTACAGAGCTCCAAACTGCCTCTAGAAGCAACATCAGCACAAGAACTGAGCGTCAGAAGCTTCATGAAATAGGTTTCCATTTCTGAGCAGCTGCACGCAGGCCTAAGTTCACTATGCCCAATGCCAAGTGTCGGCTGGAGTGGTGTAAAGCACCATCACTGGACTCTGGATCAGTGGAACCGTGTTCTCTGGAGTGATGAATCAGCTTCTCTATCTGTCAGTCTGATGATGAATCTGGGTTTGGTGGATGTCAGGAGAACTTTACCTATCGAAATGCAGAGCCAACAGTAAAGTTTGGTGGAGGAGGGATGATGGGCGGGGCTGTTTTTCAGGGTTTGGGTTCTCAGTTCCAGTGAAGGGTGATGTTGATGCTGCAGCACAAAGACATTTTACACAGTTATCTGCTTCCAGCTTTGTGTCAGCAGTTTGGGGAAGAGCCTTTCCTGGAACTCCAGTGGCCCTCACAGAGCTCTGACCTCAACCACTCTGAACAGCTTTGGGATGAACTGCAACGGAGATTGTGAGCCAGGCCCTCTCGTCCAACATCAGTGTCTGACCTCACAAATGCTCTTCTGGATGAACGGACAAAAATTACCACAGACTCTCCAACATCTTGTAGAAGCTTCCCAGAAGAGTGGAAGCTGTTAGAGCTGCAAAGGGGACCAACTCCATATTAATGCCCCTGGATTTAGAATGGGACGTCCAACAAACTCATATAAGTGTGATGGTCAGGTGTCCCCATACTTTTGGCCATTATATATATGTACACATACAACGAAGTGCAGACTCATAACTGTCCATACAAAACGCAAAGTACATGTGAATATGATTAATTATGTATTTAATTGCCAGTCTCATCTCTGAACCTGTAAGGGTTAAGGCGTTCTTGGAAGCTCTATGCAGATATAGCTGGTATTTGTTCCAAATGAAATGCTATTTTTTTAAATTGTAGTCGATCAACTGTGTGAAGAACAGCCCACTCAGAGTCCGTCTATTTTCAGCAGTGCTGTTAGTCATCTCACACCTAGCTGTAGTACCCTCTTCTGCTGAGTCCTAACCTGGAATCTTAACTCCGACACAGTTGTTTTCCTCTATTGTTGAGATAATGTGTTGAAAACGCCGCTCAGTCCCAGTTCGCCCACCTGCACCTCGCTTTCATATCCTCGCTCACGTCGTTCACCCAGCTGCCTCTCACTGGCATTTCTGTTTCGCTGTGCAAAGAGCTTTTAACGTCATTCATCACCAGCAGACACCATCACCACTCTGTCCTGGATATGCCATCAGTTTGTTGTTGCTGCCATGAGAAAACCTGCTAACTCTATTTTTAGCCTTTTTAATGATTATTTTCTGTATAGAAAAACAGACTCATTCATAACTTTTGCCCATTTTAATGGTGATTAGATATTACCAATGCTGCCAAACACTGACTGGCCACTTTATTAGAAACACCTTGTGCTTCCACTCACTGGCCACTTTATTAGAAACACCCACCTTGTGCTTCCACAAACTGGCCACTTTATTAGAAACATCCCCCTTGTTCTTCCTCTAACTGGCCACTTTATTAGAAACACTGTCTTGTGCTTCCACTCACTGGCCACTTTATTAGAAACACCCACCTTGTGCTTCCACTCACTGGCCACTTTATTAGAAACACCCACCTTGTTCTTCCACTATCTGGCCACTTTATTAGAAACACCTCCATGCTATCTTCTACCTTACATTCTTCAGTAGCCTGTCTATGCCTTGTTACTGCTTTGCCTACTCTTGGCTTTCTCTCAAGCAGTTTCATGAGGAGCCAACTGGGATGTTTTTGGTTTTTCACATTTAAAACTACAGATAAACAGATAAACTGTAGAGTGGACCTGAGGGAAGCCAACAGTACAAGTTCTTGAAGCTTTAAGTCCGTTTGAAGCTCATTTCAGTCAGATGGAGCGGCAAACATAAAAGCTTGTTTTCCTAATTCAGTATCAGCTACAGGAACAGAAAGAAGATACAAAGTCTGTAAGTGTGGACTGAATGATCTGAATTCTGTAGTTATTCAGCCTACAGCAGTTTAGCCCCGCCCACTCAGCCTACAGCAGTTTAGCCCCGCCCATTAATTCCACTGCAGTTTAGCCCCGACCCCCAGTGAATAAATCTCTCACCAAGCTGCTGTTTTTTTTGTAGGTATCTCGGCATCACGCGGCCGCTGACCTACCCTGCCCGTCAGAACGGGCAGCTGATGGCCAAGATGATCTTCGGGGTGTGGCTGGTGTCGGCCTCCATCACGCTGCCTCCGTTCTGCGGCTGGGCGAAGAACATCAACACGGAGGGAGTGTGTCTGATCAGCCAGGACTTCAGCTACACCATCTACTCCACCGCCGTGGCCTTCTACATCCCCATGCTCGTCATGCTCTTCATGTACTACAAGATCTTCAAGGCTGCTCGCAAGAGCGGAGCCAAACACCGCTTCACCAGCATCGTTCGCAGCTTGGACCCTCCTGCCAGCGAGCTCCACTGTAAAAAGTATTACTAGGTTAAAGTAAATCATATTCAAATATAGGAAAAGTCAAGGTGGAGAATTAAAGTTAACAAAGCATGTTTTTATTGTGTGTCAGAAATTAAACGTTTCGAATGTTCATTAAAGTTAAAATATTGAATAGTAAATTAGAATTTTTTCAATTAACAATTTAGCTTCTCTCTAATGTAATACATTCTCATACTATCTGAAGTCTTTCCTCCACCAGAGGGCAGTGTAGTTCAGGGGTCAGAGGTTCTAATCTGTTTAGACCAGCAAAGGCAACAGAAAGACTACTGCAGCCGTCTAAAAGCTACCACACACTATCTAAGGGCTGCCTCACACTGCTTCAAGACTACTGCAGCCATCTAAAAGCTACCACACACTGTCTAAGTACTACCGCACACCAACCAAAGACTACTGCAGCCATCTAAAAGCTACCACACACTGTCTAAGTACTACCGCACACCAACCAAAGACTACTGCAGCCATCTAAAAGCTACCACACACTGTCTAAGGGCTACCTCACACTGTCTAAAGGCTACCACACACTGTCTAAAGGCTACCACACACCATCTAAAAACTACTGCAGCCATCTAAAAGCTAGCGCACACTGTCTAAAGGCTACCACACACTGTCTAAAGGCTACCACACACTGTCTAAAGGGTACTGCACACCATCTAAAGACTACTGCAGAGTGATGGCAGAAGAAACTGGGAGTTTACGTATTACAAATGAAACATTTTGTGGCTCCAGAAAATAAAAATATTTACTGGATTTTGCCCTCAGATTTTTGAAATGTTGGTAAAAATGGTTTATATTACTATATAACCCATTATATTATATGTAACTGTATTATATTTGTCTTAGTAATAAAGGTTTAAGATTCATGATGCATATTGCACTGTCAGATATAATAATATATAATATTAAAAAGAGCAAATTTGCTCAAGAGGAAATGTACCAAAAATGAAATTGTTTAATTTAGTTTTAAACTAATTTTAAAAAATAGTGTGGAGATCTTGAGGGACATATTTGCACCAAAGCCAAAGCATATATATATATATATTTCCTCTGCATTTTGCAATAAAACAAAAACATGCATCTCTGGATCTTCCGTTTCGGGTAGTTAAATAGACCTTAAATCTAAGAATAATTCCTGAACATTTCATGCATCTAATATCATTCAAAAGTTATAATGTGTGATGTGTTAAAATTATCTTTTTCCACTGCAAACATTATTTTTTTTAATATAAAAAGCCTCAATATCTCAGAAACGACTGAAGATACAAGGCTAGAATTCTGTAACTGTCTCTGGGAATAATGACATTTTTTCTAAATTGAAAGTGTGACGAAGAGCTGTGAGTTAAGATCAGTGGACTCTGTTGTCCCTTTGTCGTTTTTCCTAGCGAGGCGGTGAGGATGCAGGGTCTGAAGCCTCAGCACCACGGCGCCGGAGTGGCGGAGGAATGCGCGGCTCTTTCTCGGCTCCTCAGCCCCGAACGCCAAAACATGTCCATCTTCAAGCGGGAGCAGAAGGCGGCCACCACCCTCGGCGTGATCGTGGGGGTCTTCTCCATCTGCTGGCTGCCCTTCTTCATCCTGTCCACTGCCAGGCCCTTCATCTGCGGCGTGGAGTGCAGCTGCATCCCCATCTGGCTGGAGCGGATGCTGCTGTGGTTCGGCTACGCTAACTCGCTCGTCAACCCCTTCATTTACGCCTTCTTCAACCGGGACCTTCGCTCCACCTACAGGGACCTGCTGCGGTGCCGCTACCGCAACATCAACCGCCGCCTCTCCGCCGTCGGCGTGCACGAGGCCCTGAAGGTTTAGGAACGAGGGACGTCCAGAGTCCAGTTTTGGACCTTTACAGCCGCCTTCTGTTTTATTTCAGACAGCTCTGAGCTGACCAGCCATTTTTGGACCCTTAGTGACCTTTTCATTTTTACCTTTTTTAATTTTTTTTGGATACCTGATTTGGACAAAGCCATTTTTTGACCTTAGAATTCTTTTTTTTTTCAGAAATGTTTTGAACAAGTCATTTTTCGACACTTTTTTCTTTGTGTCTAGAATCTGATTTTGAGTGTAAACCTGTTTTTGTGCTCCAAGCCATTTTCTTCTGATTTGGAAAAGCCATGTTTGGATTCTAAAAGAGCTTTAAAGAAAGTCTTACTGGACGACCCATTCTGCCATTCCGGGACCCCAGGTGTTTTTATCCGTTCTGATTTGGATGAGCCTTTTTGGACCGTAAATTTCCTTCTTTTAGTAACTATAATTTTATTTTTTTATTTTTTACTTGAACCCTAAAGTTTCATTTTCTTTTTCTAAAACTCTGTTTTGGACGACCAACTGTTTTAGTGTGAAATTAATTTTTGTTTTCTTTTTCGTCAGTATCTCACATTTTAAGACGTTTTAAGTTTTTAGACCCCAATTTTTTTGTTTTGCTTTATTTTTTAGTGACTGTAATTCAGGCAGGCCTTGTTTTTGGATGCTTAACCACCTTTTAACGACATTTTCATTATTTTCTTTCAGAAAGCTTTAGGGAGATCCGTCCTGGGACTCCAGATGGCTTTATTTCTTCTTCTTTTGGTGAAACTGGAATGTTTTTTTCTGGACTTGAAAGCAGATGTTTAGCCCGTGTCTGAGTGTCTGCTGACTGAGTCCCCAGATGGGAACCGTAAGGGCTGGTGGATAATTGTTGCTGTAAGGCTTTGTGGTCTGCGCTGACTAATATTGGAAATCGGTGAGGGAGGTTGGGGGTTGGGGGGGCTCCAGTGTGGGGGCGTGGAGAGAGACGGGACGCTCACCTTGCCTTTTACAGTGACTCAGCCGGCTATTTTAGGAGCTGGTGGCGAGGAGCGGCCGTCGGGCTTTTGATGGAGTATTGAACTCGACAGGCTCTGTGCGGACGCTTCGCCCTGATCCCGCCTGCTTTCTGGACAGATCTGACAAGCGAGAAAGACACGCTTAACGCCTTTGTGCGGTTCTTGAGCCGTAGACGATGACAGACGCGCTAATTAATGATAATTTGAGGAATTGGAACCCTCGAGTGATGACAAGGGACTCCTGTTGTCATCTGCAGTCTGGCTTTGTTTGGCTGCAGAATAAGTCAGAATATACTGTCAATATAAAACAAAATGTATTGTAATGTATTTTCAACATATTTCTGTTTTCTATGGGACTTTATGGAGGAGAAACAGTCCGTATGGACGGCAACACACTGTAAATTGTCAAAACTTAATTTACCATCATGATGTTTACTGTCACAGTTTCAAACCACCTTCATGAAACTTTGGTATCTTCAGTGCTTTTCTGTATAATATTTAACGGAAGTGTTTTGTTACGATTTGCTTACTGCAGACGTCTGAACAGCTTACAGAGGCAAAGAGCTTAACAGAACCGCAGAAACTGAAAACTGCATTGTCCCAGTTTCGGAATCCAGAGACGACTTTCCTCACCATTAAAACTGCCAGATAATGACGGAGGAAGATGTTAAAAGTCTTTGTCATGAGTGACCAGTGAACTGTGCATGAAGCTCACAGTGGGATTTCTGTTTCACTGTGCAGAGAGCTTTTTAATGTCCTTCATCACCAAAAGATCACACTTGCGTCCTGGAGAAGCCGTTAGCTCTCTCACACTGTCATCACAGACACCTGGACTTTCAGTCGTTTATTATTATTATTACTTACAAAGAAACTGGCTTGTTTTTGGCCTTTGCCCACTTTTAACTCTGATCATTTGTAGTGAAACAGGTCTGAGGAACAGCTTCATACAATTACAGGCCACTTTATCAGAAACACTGTCATATGTCCACTAACTGGCCACTTTATTGGAAACACCCCTTGTACGTCCACTCACTGGTTACTTTATTAGAAGTGCTCCAGTTAGTGGAAACACAAGGTGGGTGTTTCTAATAAAGTGGCCAGTGAGTGGAAGCACAAGGTAGGTGTTTCCAATAAAGTGGCCAGTTAGTGGAAGCACAAAGTGGGTGTTTCTAATAAAGTGGCCAGTTAGTGGAAGCACAAAGTGGGCGTTTCTAATAAAGTGGCCAGTGAGTGGAAGCTTCTAATAAAGTGGCCAGTTAGTGGAAGCACAAGGTGGGTGTTTCTAGTAAAGTGGCCAGTTAGTGAAAGCTTTTAATAAAGTGGCCAGTTAGTGGAAGCACAAGGTAGGTGTTTCTAGTAAAGTGGCCAGTTAGTGGAAGCACAAGGTGGGTGTTTCTAATAAAGTGGCCAGTTAGTAGAAGCGCAAGGTGGGTGTTTCTAATAAAGTGGCCAGTTAGTGGAAGCACAAGGTGGGTGTTTCTAGTAAAGTGGCCAGTGAGTGGAAGCTTTTAATAAAGTGGCCAGTTAGTGGAAGCACAAGGTGGGTGTTTCTAATAAAGTGGCCAGTTAGTAGAAGCGCAAGGTGGGTGTTTCTAATAAAGTGGCCAGTTAGTGGAAGCACAAGGTAGGTGTTTCTAGTAAAGTGGCCAGTTAGTGGAAGCACAAGGTAGGTGTTTCTAGTAAAGTGGCCAGTTAGTGGAAGCACAAGGTAGGTGTTTCTAGTAAAGTGGCCAGTTAGTGGAAGCACAAGGTAGGTGTTTCTAATAAAGTGGCCAGTTAGTGGAAGTACAAGGTAGGTGTTTCTAGTAAAGTGGCCAGTTAGTGGAAGTACAAGGTAGGTGTTTCTAGTAAAGTGGCCAGTTAGTGGAAGCACAAGGTAGGTGTTTCTAGTAAAGTGGCCAGTTAGTGGAAGCACAAGGTAGGTGTTTCTAGTAAAGTGGCCAGGAGTGGAAGTGCAAGGTGGGTGTTTCTAATAAAGTGGCCAGTGAGTGGAAACACAAGGTGGGTGTTTCTGTTAAAGTGGCCAATTAGAGGAAGCGCAAGGGGGTGTTTCTTCTCAGAAGCTGTTTCTATTTAGAGGAGTAGGATATGATTTAACCACAACATGTTTATCGTGAGGATTAAACAGTCAGTTTCCAGACTCACTGTCTCAAAACCATCTTTACCACATTACAGAACCACACAAACAGAAGTGTAGAGTCATTACTGACGCCTTACTGTTCTGTTCAAATATCATTACACAATTATTCCACTCATCACATAATGAATTACATTTGAATAGTGTTCTGTGAGGACAGGTGTGGCTTTGCACTTCTTTGTTTTGATGTCAAAAATTACAAAATCATGACAGAAATACAAAAACACACCAATAACTTTCCATCAAACTCAAATCATAATGAAATATTACCTCTTCTATTAAAAAAAAAAAACATGGTACAGATTTAAAAATTAATTTAAGGGTGAATTCCTCTAATTTTTCAAAATTCCTGCATAATCATTTGGTTAAGCTGTAAAAAGAGTCATTCAGAGTGGTTTGGTGTGAAACACTCCGTTCTAGATAAACTTACCGAGTCAGAACTGTTCACAGTGGTGGTGATAGGAACCAGACGTCCACCTCTAAAAGCTCCCTCACAGAAAGTTCCTACATGAAATGGTTATGAATTCACTGCCTGATGACTGAGACACTGTTTTATGATAGTTTAGAGAACTTAAACTCCATTCATGGTGGAGGGATACATGCAGGGCGCTGTGTTGTATTGGCGTGTGGGTGTGAGGGGTGTTTGTGGCCGTGTGTGTTTTATGAGTGCGGGTGTGAGGGGTGTTTGTGGCCGTGTGTGTTTTATTGGCGTGTGGGTGTGAGGGGTGTTTGTGGCCGTGTGTGTTTTATTGGCATGTGGGTGTGAGGGGCGTTTGTGGCCGTGAGTGTTTTATGAGTGTGGGTGTGAGGGGCGTTTGTGGCCGTGTGTGTTTTATTGGCGTGTGGGTGTGAGGGGCGTTTGTGGCCGTGTGTGTTTTATGAGTGTGGGTGTGAGGGGTGTTTGTGGCCGTGTGTGTTTTATTGGCGTGTGGGTGTGAGGGGCGTTTGTGGCCGTGTGTGTTTTATTGGCATGTGGGTGTGAGGGGCGTTTGTGGCCGTGAGTGTTTATGAGTGTGGGTGTGAGGGGCGTTTGTGGCCGTGTGTGTTTTATTGGCGTGTGGGTGTGAGGGGCGTTTGTGGCCGTGTGTGTTTTATGAGTGTGGGTGTGAGGGGTGTTTGTGGCCGTGTGTGTTTTATTGGCGTGTGGGTGTGAGGGGTGTTTGTGGCCGTGTGTGTTTTATTGGCACGTGGGTGTGAGGGGCGTTTGTGGCCGTGAGTGTTTTATTGGCGTGCGGGTGTGTGAGGGGTGTTTGTGGCCGTGAGTGTTTTATGAGTGTGGGTGTGAGGGGTGTTTGTGGCCGTGAGTGTTTTATGAGTGTGGGTGTGAGGGGTGTTTGTGGCCGTGAGTGTTTTATGAGTGTGGGTGTGAGGGGTGTTTGTGGCCGTGTGTGTTTTATGAGTGTGGGTGTGAGGGGTGTTTGTGGCCGTGTGTGTTTTATTGGCGTGTGGGTGTGAGGGGCGTTTGTGGCCGTGAGTGTTTTATTGGCGTGCGGGTGTGAGGGGTGTTTGTGGCCGTGAGTGTTTTATGAGTGTGGGTGTGAGGGGTGTTTGTGGCCGTGAGTGTTTTATGAGTGTGGGTGTGAGGGGCGTTTGTGGCCGTGAGTGTTTTATGAGTGTGGGTGTGAGGGGCGTTTGTGGCCGTGAGTGTTTTATGAGTGTGGGTGTGAGGGGCGTTTGTGGCCGTGAGTGTTTTATGAGTGCGGGTGTGAGGGGTGTTTGTGGCCGTGAGTGTTTTATGAGTGTGGGTGTGAGGGGTGTTTGTGGCCGTGTGTGTTTTATGGAGTGCGGGTGTGAGGGGTGTTTGTGGCCGTGAGTGTTTTATGAGTGTGGGTGTGAGGGGTGTTTGTGGCCGTGTGTGTTTTATTAGCGTG